CAGTAGCTGATCCTCCGTGTCTTTACAGGTCAAGTGGATCTCGTCGCCGGCCAGCAATACTGGGGGACCTAGTTTTGGACGCGGAAGACCCGTTGACCATCCAGTTTTGGGGTGATTTCATTAGGTACAACATTTTTTTTGATGGATTTGACGGGGAGTGATGGGATTTCACCGAATTAGTGCGGGTCAGAATTTGATGAATCCACAGTTTTGATGAATATACCAGGATTAAACCAAACATGGTGTCTGATCCAATCGAAATTCTATCAATCAGAGCAACGCATTTAGGGCCTTTTAGAAACCAACGGGATCTGTAAATTGCCCAACGGATTCAAGTTTCAGTCCCCGGGGCAATTCGTTGGGCAATTCTTTGTGTGACATGTAAGGGGTGACTAAGAGACTAACAAAGTCCAGGGAGTTCACCACGGAGAAATTAGCATGAGTAGAAGAAATGGGGATCTACAACTATTGGCTGGCTACAAAGTGGTGCCCCATAGTTAGCTAAGTTGGATTATAACTCCAATAACTATGGTTTATGGCAGATATAACTATAGTTAATGGGGTTTATAAACCAACTTATAACTGGGGGGCGCCACCTTGTACTCGTGTTTCTATGAAAATATATGAACATGTAGAAGCCCATCCCATCCATTTTTTCTTTTACTTATTTCCCCAGCTATGGAATCGCTACAAAATGCACTATGCCATCCATTTCTGGTTTGTTAAACTCAAATCAACATGGTTGTTTATAAATCCCATGATGTTCCATTACATTCCCGTCTTCCCATAAAATATTCCCACCATATCCCCATTCTGTTCTCGGTAAAAAAATCCATGATATTCCCAAACTGTCTTCCTTCGACTGGTTGGTTTTCGCGTTTTCGCCCTCGTGGCCATGACCTATCATGATGTCCTGGCGGGCCCTGGTGGGGGCCTTGAAGCATGAAGGCTATGTTCCATGAAAAGTTAGATGGTTTTGTTGGTGACATCCACCATTCTCCGAATATCCGTGCATCTACACCTAGTTTGATACCAGTAAAAAAAATCCGTACATACATGGATACGGCAACCCCCAAAAGACGTAGAAGTAAAACCACACTAAGATGATGATATCTTGTGCGTGTTGATGTTTTGCAGGTCAATATGTATATTAATTATGTAGTTGTGCGTGCTTACATACTGTTGATCAAACAATGCAAATATAATATATATATATACATTTTTTTGGATTTAGATTGAGCTGAATCACATCACACTTGCTATAATATTATACAATTAAAATACATAAAACTTATCATGTTATATTATATAAAGTTAGAATGTTTAGATCTATGTATATACACATATATATAATATGTCGTATCCTGTGTTTGTGTACATGCCTTGATGGTTCGAACATCCTACATAAGTTTGCATCTACTACCCGATCATCCCCTTCGTCTCTGGAGTTAATTCGATAGTTAAAGCCTTGGTGGATACCCTTCTAGTGATTGGATTGATTGGTTCAGGATTCATCCACCATGATGCGCACTAAACCAATCAAAAAGTATGGACATGCCCAAAACTAAAAATGGTGTCATAAAAATGGTGTCATTTTAATAAAGGGGACCCTGCAAAGAGTTTCCCAAAAGGTTTCCCTACAGGCCTCTATGGCGAGGACGGGGTCTGGATGGCCAGTCAGGTCGATTTATTGTTAACTTGCTCAGATGTCTCCTTTTCGTTACTGGTTTTTCATCCGTTTTTTTCTCTGGAAAACCCATTTGATGCGCTTCGAAGTAGCAAAATCCGTTTGGTAGGCCGAAAGCCATACGAAGCGCATATGAATTCAAACCGCAGACAGGCACCTCGATGAAATATCCACCAAGTGGCGTTTAAATCTTCTCCAATCTTGCTCGTTCCAGGCACAAGTCTGGATGTATGGCGGGGGTGTTACATCCCAGCTGCATCTCAGCTACAAAAAACTCGGAAAACTAGGATTTTTCATGGATTTTCTGACTTTGGTTGCAACTCTATGGCTGTTTCTACATTCTGAACATACTGTTTTCTTTGCAATGTCCTGAATTTGGGAAGGGGGATAAAGCTTCAAATCTTTGGACCAAACAGGCCCTTGTGATGGGTCAAAGCGTTCAGGCAACCAAATATCGTATAAAAAGTTATGATATGCTTTGATCCATCCTAAAAATCCTTGGATATGTCCAGCGACAAGAGAAAGAATTGACTGTAGTAGCCCCATTGAAGTTGGGATGATGGCTCAAGTAGGTGGGTAGAATGGTGTGTGGCCACATTACGGTACTTCCCAAATCAAAATCGTCAATGAGTAACAAGTCATAACTATTCAAAATAGTCAGGTGGGCTAGTTAAGGTGGCTCTGGTTTAACCAGTAAGTCGTCAACATCAAATGTAGCCTATGAAAAATGAACATATCGAAAATCATGGAAAATCTACAGTACCATGTATCGATCACCTCCTGAAGTTTTTGCAGTTTACCCCAAGGCTTTTCCATGACCAGCCCCCAAGTGTCCAGTCGAGCGCCTTGTGGCATTCAGTGTAGGGTTGAAGTCTCCTTAACTGCAGTTCCCGCGGTTCCCGCGGTTCCCGCGGTTCCCGCGGTTCCCGCGGTTCCCTCGGTTCCCGCGGCCCCCGTGCGGTCGATCCTTCCAGGGACACCCAGGTCTTTGGATGGTCGGACAACCGCTCGCAACCGTTCCCAATCGACGGTTTTTTTCGCCCTGCCAAGAAGAAAACGTTCAAAGCGTGTCATTTTTAGAGTTCTGCAAGTTGAGACAATGATGCTGTTTCGTTGATCAGGCGGGCAACTTGGTGAGACTCAGACTTGGCGAATGGATTTGTGTGATGAGCGCAATACTTGTTTGCGCTGTCTTTGGAACATTTTTTTTGTGGCGAGGGCAGTGCTTGAGAGAGGTTCATGGTCGTGGTTCCTGGCAAACGCAACGTTTCAGGGTGTTGCGTGCTGTTTCCAAATCGCATTGGAATCGCTGCACCAAGGAGTGACAAAGTGCAAATGCCGTGGCAGGCGCAATACATACATTGCGAGACTCGCAAAGTATCGGAAGGTGTGGAATGTTAATTTTGAGTGGCAAGCGCAATACTTGCGACACTTTAAGCGTTGCTTTTGGCACTCTTGGCATCGGCACAGCAAGATGTCGAATCGATGTTTCGTTCTGTTGTTTGCTGGGCATTGCCCAGGCATTGCCCAGAAGGTATCATTCTGGAGACATGTGAAACATAGTCGAAATAGCGTGATTGAAGTGATTTTGTCTGGGATGCTGATTTTGTATAGTCTTTTCTAAGATGGTTTTGTTTTTTCGTGGAAGGCGCAATGCTTGGGAGAGGTCCATGTTCATTTTGCGCAGGCTCCATAATTTGGACCTGCGAGGCGTGTGAAATAACAAGAGAATGCTGCAAGAAGGCGTTCTATTACATACCCTCTGGTAAACTAACATAACTATGGAAATTCACCATTTTTTATGGGTGAATCCATTATAAATGGCCATTTTCAATAGCTATGTTAAATTACCAGAGGGTAATCCAAATAACACGGTGGCAAGCCCAGTACATCGCAACATGGTGTGGAATATTCTTTTGTGCGGCAGGCGGGCGCGGTGTTCGGTGGATATCCGTGGCGGGTGAAAAAGAATGTCTTAACAAGTAAGAAAGCACCACAGAATGTTTCAGAAGTATCGCGGCAGCAGTGTCCAGGAAGATTGTCGTCCTAAGATTGCTTAGAGTGTCTTCAAGTTCATTTTGGACCGTCCCACGAGACAAGGGTGCCGAAGAGTCTAGCAGAAGTGTCTTCAAAGAATGTCCTAGCAGAGCGTCTCAGAATGTCGCAAGAGCTTCCCTCAAGAGTATCTCAGAAAAGTGTCTTACAAGAGTGTCTTACAAGAAGAGTGTCCCTCATGGCTGCCTCCGAAGAGTGTCTTCAAAGAGTGTCTTACAAGAATGTCCCACGAGAGAGCCCCATCAGAGTGTGTTAAAGAGCGTCCCATAAGAGTGTCTTGACAAAAGTGTCTTGACAAAGGTGTCCAACAAGAGTGTCACACAAGAGTGACTTCAGAAGACTGTCCCACAAGAGCGTCCAAATTTGAGCGTCTTACAAGACTGTCTCATTCTAGAGACTTTGCAGAGGGTGCCTTACAGTGCCCGACCAGAGAGTCTCACCAGGTGCTGTCCATTCGGGTCCATGGCTTCTATTAGTTCCCGTTGCATCAACAAATGGGGATTAAACCGGGGGAGACCTCCAACTGCGGAGCTAAAACCATCCGTTGTTGGAAGGCGATGATTTGGAGACATTCCAACATTCCAACATTGGGGTTTGACTGAAATTCAAAGCAACAAAAACAGACAAAATTCCATTGTTGATCATCATTCTCCCTTTTGCCAAACATGTAAACTTGCCATACTTTAAGGGTATAGAAGCAAGAAGAAAAGAAGGAAGCAAAAAGACGATAGAGCGAAAGAGAAAATAAAACGGAAAGAAAGCAAGGAAGAAGAAAACACCCTGCCCCATCCCAATTAGTTCCACAAAGGAAAATTCTATAGCTGATGAACCAGATTCAAGCCTTGTAAAATCCTTACTTAGATATTTATACATATAATGCATTTTTACCCTTACTTTCTTCGCATCGAACCTACACTGTCCGCACTGTTGACCCCCCCAACAACCAATTGTTTCAACGTAGGGATTGCACTGCACCGCCATCGTCCTGTCCCGAAACACCGCCGAATGCTGGCGGAGTGTCCCATCTTTCCCACAGGTCAACGTCGTTGCGCGTCTCCTGCAGAAAAAGGCGAGAAAAACCCCAGCCATAACCAGCGAGCCATGAAAAAAGTGGGCATAGTAGCGCCCAAAAAGATAAAAAGGTAACTTATCACAATTTTGCTGGGATTTTACTTTACTATCTTTTTGGTGGTCACTATAATATGCTATAATCGTTCTCAACTCAAAGAAATTTGCCCATGATTCATGTTTTTGTTTT